TTGCCTAGGGCTAGTAATTCCATAGATAGCGAGATTTGATACCAGAATTGATTAGACGAGTCAGTCGAGGGTGTAGACGAAACCGTGAACTAGAAATTTCTCTTATTTATTCTATATTTATTTTTATTTCCTTTCTTTATATTTTTAGTATTTTTAGTTAGTTTAATTATCAATACCCAATCCCCCCATTTACCGCTTTTATAAATTCAAATACGAGAAAATTCACGATTCGATTCACACTCCCTGTGGGATCGACCCTTGCTCACCACTACTACTAGTTAGTAGAGATTAGTCGAGGAAAAATATAAATTTTAATTTTTCCGCGTTGCGACGCGCGGTCACCTCACATTAACGAGTAAAAGGTGAACAAGTGATGATGAAGTATAACTCAAAAAACAACAAGATAGCCTATTATTGTACTCCTTTCTATTTTTTTTAAATGTCATTCTAGCTTTATCAACTATTTGTCAAATAAATGTCATTTTGGATCTTTTCTACATATTTTTCTATTATTACCCTCATTTAACTAATAAATAAATTACGTCTTTTCATATTCACTCTTCATTTTTTCTCAAAACATTCATCTATATCTTCATTAAATAGGGTTATTATTGACAAAAAATATTCTTAATTAACGTGCAACTTCTCAAAACGACATATATTAAAAATAGGAGGTAGTATCATTTTGTTCCAAACCAGTTTGAATCAAATCTAAGACTTCCAACACATTCAATTATTCAATTTGAACAACGGCCAACAATAACTTGGGCTCGCATTTAGGATCCATATAAGTACATTACTTACAATGCAGCCATGAGTTCCCCTGAGACTGCTGTTGATGAAGATGATAACTTTCATAATCATAAACCAACGGACTCCCGAAAAGATAATCCGCTGCACTCTCCCATCGATCCATCCTTCTTTCTTCTTGATCCCGATAATGACAACAACACTTTTCGCACTTCTGTTCGCGCGCCCGCTTAGCCAAGCACGGCCAGTAACCGAACAAACTCTCACAAATATCCACACCTTCCAAACCCGAGCCATACGGCATTCGAGCCACATCATCCAAATATCCGTATTCTCCAACTTCAAAGCCATCACGATAATTACCCGATTTTTCATCCCCCGCCACATCATCGTTCTCGAAACTTTCGGTTTTAGTCTCTACCGGTTTAGTTCCATTAGTAGTAGGCTTCTTTTCGGCATCTTGAGACGATCCAACGTTGTCTTTGCCATACGGTGAAGGAATCGAAGCATATGAGAAATTTTCAAGCCCAGAGTTCTCGGTTTTCGGCAAAGAACGAGGATAGCATGTGGCTTCCGAAGGGGGGAAAGGCTTTCCGTACGTCTCGACAGGGTCGTAGCCTCCGCTATAAGGAGTCGGGTCGTACTCCTCGAATTCGGGCTCGTTGAATTCCGCCGTGGAATAAGAGATTGTGAAATTTTTCGTCTCGGGTGGGAAAAAACCCCGGGCCGCATGTAATGAAGGAGGTGCATTGTATTGGAGAAGTTTAGGCTCTTCATAGTAGTTGTAGGAGGAATAATATTCTACAAATGCGGGCTCGACAAATTCACGCGGCGGATCGTATTCGACTGGGGTTTGTATTTGAGTGGAAAATGAATTGTAACTATAGTTTGTGTTGTAAGGAGTTAAATAGTAGTCATGAAGATCCTCCTTAAAGCCATAGAAGGCCATTTATTCAGCCAAAAATGTGCCTCTTAGAAGAAAAGGGTTTCAAGAAAGAAGTAAAGGCAAGCAAATTTTGGTGCAAAATCTTGTTATATTTGAAGTGAAAAAATTGAGTTCAATATCAGCCAGTTGATTCTTATCCAGTTAGAAGCAGAGGAAGAGCAGGACAATGAGTCATTTATGTTTGGTGGATCTCACTGTTTAGTGTATTCTTATCTTATGAATGAAAGAAAAGATAATGTTGTGATTAAAGAGATGGAAAAAAATGAGTGGTCATCTGTTAGAAGACAAGGTCCCATGTGCTTTTGAATCTCAAGTGCGAAAGCCAATAATTTATGATCCTGACTGTGACACTCTACCTTACACAAATCAAGCCACATATAATTCAAATGAGCCGAGCCTAGCCCGAGCTCAGGGTGCTGGAGCTCAATCTCGAGCCCTCAACGAGTCAGAAATCGAGCTCGAGTTTGACTCGTTTAACAACATTAACGAGCTGAGTTCGAGCCTAAGAAGCAAATCTCAAACTGTAACGAACCGATCTATATAAAATTATGTAAAAAATTTCCTTTTGAGTCATATCGAGCCAAACTCGAGTCGAGCCAAGCACAGCCCGTTAATGAAACGAGCTTTAAGAGAGCTCATTTTGTGTAACAACTTGCACACTTCTAAGAGAATGACAAACCTCCATAATCTTTGTTCTTAACATGTATATAAGAATAATAATTCAATTCAATTAGCATACAAATACTACCAAAATAGCATACAACTCCAATCATAACCATCAAGTATAGATGCAATTGTTAATACTCACCTTGAGTGTACAATTTTTGTTGTGACCAACCTGCAAACATTTATGGTTTATTTATGGTTTGCTGTGCTAGTTTAGAGTTAGCTTCTTTGGCGATTGACGGACTGTAGTTTGTTAAAGTTCCGGTTGTTGCTAGGCTTGTATTATCAATACTTTCCGGGTAATATGTGTCCAATTGAATACCCGACTGTAAGACTTTATTTGAATTTGACAATATATTTTGTTATCGCTGAAAAACAAAACAAAAAAACATCGTGCCTATCTTGAAGGCTTGCAGCAGACCAGTTTCCGCCAATCTTCCCGTCTCGGCTAGACTTTTACGAGTGAGATTCGGTACGCATTTTTATTCATGTTTATGTATGTATATATATACATATACTTATTTATTTTATTACCATATTATTATTTGCCTATGTATACATATATATGTATGTATTTGAAGCGAAATCGAGAATAGGATTACCTTGGGCCGGTGTGGAGCCTAAACCAAATTATGATTTAAGGCATGCCCACAATCTGGGCTATGGTTCTTATTGGGCCAAGATTACGGGTGCTAATTTTTAATGCTCATTAGGCCCATAATGAATTCCTTACTACCATTTAATATACATTTGATTGATGTCTAGTTTCATTAGGCCCATAACTATGTTCACTAGTGCCTGCAATGAATTAGTGTCTTTTGTGTCTCATTTGGAAGAAGCTTGCCTCAGTACCATTCGAAATGAGTCTCCTCCACATGCTTTGCGTAATAGGGCAATCCCGTAACACATGCAACGTATTCTCTGGAGCCCCACACATGTCACATTCCGGCGAGGTGGCGAGGTGACGCCGAACCCTTTCTACATTGGTCAAAAGACGATCACGAGCTGCCACCCATAGGAACATCCTAATTCGCTGCGGGATCGGGGACTTCCAAATAAATTTCCATAAAGGACGCTCGGTATCATGATGAGTTAAAGTCTCGTAAGCGGTCCTTGTAGAGAAAACTCCATCCCTCGCAGCTCCCCACACAAGGCGATCCTCCCCCGCTATATCTCTTGGCGGCATTATTCCCGCAATTCTCATAATGACTGCTGAAGGAAGTTTACAGTGAAATTCAGCCCAATTCCAATTACCCATATCATCCACATAATCTACTACTTTTAAGTTGAGATGTTCTTCCTCTATCCGCTGGCAGGCATAATTAATAAGAGGACCTAGTGGATCAACCCATGAATCAATCCAAAACCTCACCTTCTCTCCGTTTCCTACCGTCCATCGAGCCTCACGTAAAATTTTGGGCCACATCTGGCAGATCCCCTTCATTAAGGGAGATCCTCTACTGCATCTTGCATAATCCAAATTGTTCGAAGAAAATATCCCGTATTTTGCACTCATAAGACAGACCCAAAGAGCGTTTTTCTTTGTAAGGAGGTTCCATCCTAGTTTCATTAATAGCGCATGATTCATCTTCCTGAGATCCTTAATGCCTAGACCTCCCTCGTACTTCAACTTACAAATATCCTTCCAAGCGACTAGATGAATTTTCCGCTTTTCAGTGGAGCCTCCCCAAATGAATGCTCGACTACGGCGTTCCAATCCTTCCGTAATAGCACTTGGCAAAAGAGCCGCTTGCATGGTGAAGTAAGGTAAAGCGCTTATCACCGATTGGGTAAGAGTGACACGTCCTGCCAAAGAGAGCGATTTCATCCTCCATCCGGCAAGTCTTCCTTCCGCATTATCCAGAATATGAGAATATGTGGACTTAGTGATTCTGCCATGAATGACTGGCATTCCAAGATATTTCCCCAGGTTATCCGTCCATTTGAAACGTAATGCTTCCGCCAATTGATGTTGATGTGCATGCGCAACATTACGAGAGAAGAACACTTGTGTCTTTTCTGAGCTAACTTTGAGGCCCGACATTTCGCAGAAACGGTCGAGAACTTGCCGTAAAACCCCTACCTGCTCATGAGAGGCTTCAGTAAATAGTAGGAGATCATCGGCGAACATAAAAAATGGGACCGAAACTGCCCCTTTCCCAATGGAAATCGGTTTCCAGGAATGTTGGTTTACCGCTACATCTATAATCTGCGCCAATCTCTCCATGCACAACACAAACAGGTACGGAGATATTGGGTCCCCCTGACGAACACCCCTGGTGGGGGTAAACTCCTCCCCTAAGGTCCCATTCCACAATAATCGCATCGAGGCTGATCTCACCGAAGCCATTACAGCCGCAATCAAGATAGAAGGAAATCCAGCGAGCTCCAAGGTTTGTTCGATGAAATCCCATCTAAGGAAATCGTACGCCTTCTCGAGGTCTACTTTAATAACCATGTAACCCTTCGCTCCTTGTTTGTTTCGCATAGAGTGAATTAGCTCATGAGCTACTACAATATTATCGATGATTTGGCGGCCCGGGACGAAGCTAGCTTGAGCCGGATGGATTAGCTCAGGTAAGGCGTCTTTCAAACGATTGACCAACACTTTCGTGAAAAGTTTATATATGACGTTTAAAAGACTTATCGGTCTGAACTGTTTAATGGAAGAAGCATTCTCAACCTTAGGAATGAGAACAATCAGAGTTTGGTTTATCTCGGACGGGACCACGCCAGTTACCCACATATTGCGAATAAAATCTCTCACTGAAGAGCCCACGGTGTCCCAGTTTTTCTTGAAGAACAAAGCATTTAAACCATCGAGCCCGGGGGCTTTTAAGGACCCTATATTTTGAAGTGCCGAATAAATTTCGACATCCGAGATTTCTTCCTGCATGGCCTGTACCTTCTCCTGACTACATTTCTGGAAGTAATTGGTCCCGCTCTCAGCCTCGGCCGGTGGGCACCCTCCCGTGTATATGTTATGGAAAAAATTCGTGGCTAACTGCCTAAGTTCCTGTTGATCTTTAATAATGCTCCCCGACTCGTCAACTAACTCATTAATTTTACCACTTCTTCTCCGGAATTTGAGTTGTCGATGAAAGTAAGATGTGTTCTTATCGCCCAAATGCACCCAATCACGAGTGGATTTCTGAAGAAGGAGTAATTCCTCCTGGATAATAACATCCTCTAGCTCCGCTCTCAGCTCCTTCTCTAGTGCCGTGAGTTTTGCCGAAAAGTAGAAATTTTTGTTGCGCTGGATTCCTCCTATACGAGCAAGAAGCCTCTTCTTCCTGTTAAATATATTTCCAAAAACCGAGTGGTTCCATTCTCTTGCTTTAATAGTGAATTGTCTTGCTGCTTCCGTGAATGGAAGTGAAGAATGCCACGAATCGTGAAGCATGGCTTGGAAATCTGCGTGGAGTAACCATGATGCTAGAAAACGAAATGGCTTTTCTCCTCGTGCACCGTGCTCAGGGAGCCCAATATCCACCATAATTGGCGAGTGATCGGACTGAATGCGGGGAAGGAGACGAACCCTACTTGTCTCAAACTTCTCCATCCAATTGGTATTTGCGACAAATCTATCAAGCTTCTCCATCACCATACCCGACTGAGTGTTTCGAACCCACGTATATTTATGACCGTCCGTTGCCACCTCTTGAATACCATGCGAGAACATCCATTCAGCGAACTCATTACTAAGGTTACAAAAATGATTGGACCCCCCTACTTTTTCGGAATGATGGAGGATACAGTTGAAATCGCCCCCTATAAGCCAAGGGTCCGGGGTACTCAAAGCTATTCTCTCCATGATAGGCCATAATCGACGTCGGTGAAGAGGGTTGGGGCTCGCATATACAAACGAGATTTTGCAATCCTCGCCATCTTTCCCTGCCCTAACATGCACGAGTTGCCGCGAGAATTCCAACACTTCAAGCTGTACACTATCTTTCCATAATACCCATATACCACCTGAAAATCCCCGAGCTTCAACACGAAAAGAGTTCTCGAATTTACTATACTGAACAAATCTATCAGCAGCTTCTCCACTAATCCGTGGTTCATAAATTGCTACAATATCCGGTTTATATTGACGAGTTAAAGTGGAGAAGGCTCCCCTAAATGCAGGCGAACCAGCTCCTTGAACATTCCAAGAAATAATAATCATGGAAAGCAGTGTTCTCGCTGTTCATGCTCATCATCGTTTTGCATGGGGTCATGCACATCTTCGTTGTGCATGGGTTGTGGTAACTCCTCTACTCCGGTCACCGTCCCCATAATCTCCTCCGGCCATGGTTCCTGGAGCTGTACCGCATGCTCTCCTTCCATCATCT